CATCATCGTCATCATCACCATCATCATCAGCATCAGCATCATCAGCAGCATCATCATCAGCATCAGCATCATCAGCGGCATCACCATCAGCATCATCATCAGCAAGCATCATCATCATCAGCAGAAGCATCATCATCAGCATGATCATCAGCAGCATCCTCATCAGCATCGTCATCAGCATCATCATAGTCATCATCAGCCCCAGCAGCAGCATCGTCGTCATCGTCATCAGCAGCATCAGCATCAGCAGCATCAGCAGCATCAGCAACATCATCATCAGCGTCAGCATTATCATCATCAGCAGCAGCATCATCATCATCAGAATCATGAGCATCAACATCAACAGCATCATCATCAGCCTCACCAGCATCAACAGCAGCATCCTCACCATCATCACCATTATCATCATCAGCAGCAGCATCATCGTCATCATCATCCTTCTCCTCCTCCTCATCCTCCTCCTCCTCCTCTTCCTCATCCTCCTCCTTTGCCGCCGCCGTCTCCGCTTCCGCCTCATCCTCCTCCTCATCATCATCATGTTCCTATTCCTCCTCTTCCTCCTCCTCCTCCTCCTCTTCCTCCTCCTCCCCCGCCTCCTCCTCCTCGTCCTCCTCCTCCTTCTCCTCCTCTTCTTCCTCCTCCTCATTCTCCTCCTTCCTCCTCATCCTCCTATCCTCGTCCTCTCCTCTCCTCCTCATCGTCCTCGTCCTCCTCCTCCTCCTCCTCCTCATCTCCTCCTCCTCCTCTCCTCCTCATCTTCCTCCTCTTCCTCCTCCCCCTCCTCCTCGTCCTCGTCCTCCGCCTCCGCCTCACCTCCGCCGCCCCGCCGCTCCGCCTCCGCCTCCACCTCCGCCTCCTCCGCCTCCGCCTCCTCCTCCCTCTCCTCCTCCTCTCCTCCTCCTCCTCCTCCTCCTCCTCTTCCTCCTCCTCCCTCCTCCCTCCCTCCTCCTCCTCCTCCTCCTCCTCCTCCTCCTCCTCCTCCTCCTCCTCCTCCTCCTCCTCCTCATCCTCATCATCATCATCATTCATCATCATCATCATCATCATCATCATCATCATCATCATCATCATCAGCATCATCATCATCATCATCATCATCATCATCATCGTCATCATCATCATCATCATCATCATCATCATCATCATCATCATCATCATCATCGTCGTCGTCGTCGTCATCATCATCATCATCATCATCATCATCATCATCATCATCATCATATCATCATCATCATCATCATCATCATCATCATCATCATCATCATCATCATCATCATCATTCATCATCATCATCATCATCATCATCATCATCAGCATCAGCATCATCATCATCATCATCCCCCTCCCCCCCTTCTCCTCCTCATCCTCCTCCTCCTCCATCCTCCTCCTCCTCCTCCTCCTCCTCCTCCTCCTCCTCCTCCTCCCCCTCCTCCCCCTCTCCCCCCCCTTTTTTCCCCCCTCCTCCTCCGTTTGCCCATCGTCTTACATTGCTCCTCTGCACCTGGAGCTGGAAAAGATTGATCATAGGACGGCTGTCGACACACACAGCCTGGCACTTCACTGGAGCTGTTTGGCAAGGTTCACTGCATTCCATCGCCTGGCGGCGAGCCAAAGGGGCTAGGGTGAGCGGACGGCCTTCGTCAACAACAGGAGACTCTTCTGAAGGGCTTCGCCCCTCAAAACCATGCGGCCCATACCTTTCGAGGGGCGGAAGCCCTGACACTGCCCATGGTTACGCGCCGCCGAATCATGCCTGGCAGATGCGTCGTGTGAAGCGTCAAGCGGGCTCAGGCTGAGCGTGTGCTTTACAGGCAGCTGATCCCCTGTTCGGCCGCTGCTCTCACACGCCCGTCTCGCCCACGCCGTGGGAGAATCCAGGACAATTCGCTCGGAGTCGGCAAGGACCTCACAGTAAAGCCTTCAGCTATATGATGCAGTACCATGGCTTGCTGCAGCTATGTCAACGGCTTGCACTGGTGGCTCCCGCTTGGTCAAAGCCCTGCGTGGCCACTCGCACGGCGAAAAGAAGGCGATCACGATGGACCCACATCGCTGAGGGGGTCGAGATGCCAGAGCGCGATGGCACTCTCCATCTGAGGCCGATCAACCACCGTGCCGTGGGCACTGGGCGGAGTGCCCTCGGGTCCCTTCGAGCTCTCTGCACTGGGTGATCCAGAAGCTCTTTCGGGGGGGCCCAGCCTTGGCCCGTCGGCAGCGAGGGCGGACGCCAACGTCTTCGGATCGCCGGCGGGCAGCGCCGAGGCCCCAGGGGGGCCCACCAGTGCGACTGGGCGAGGAGGAGGCCGGCCGCGGAGGGGGAGCGCGTGAGCCCTCGGGCGCAGAGAGGCCTCGCTGCGAGGAGTGCGCAGGCGGCCTCGGGCACCCGAGCCAGGTGCACCAGAGGGTCGTGCAGGGGGCCTGGAGGGGGGCCCAGAGACCCACCGGCCGGAGTTTCCTGGGCTCGCCGCGTGGCGCCTGGGCCAAGCAGGCCGGAGCGCCCCACGACTAGCCAAGAGGCTCCCAGGAGGGCCCCAGGACGGTCCAAAAGAGACCCCGAGACGGCCCGGGAGCGTTCAGAGACGGCCCAGAGACGGCCTCGAGACGGCCCAAGAGGCCTCCAGGACGCCCCAACAGGGCCGTTTGTCCTTCGCTTGTTGATTGGGTTTGGCGTACCCGCTCTTTGCCCAGGACTCCCAACGCCCAAGGCGGCCCGAGAAGCTCCCAAGATCACCCGAAGACTGTCAAAGAGACTCCCAAGAGGAGCCCAAGAAGGGGAAGGGAAGAAGCCGTGAGAGTATTTCAACAAAATATAGCCCACAGGACGCACAGCATGCTCACTGGAGCCCCCAGAAGCGCCAAAGAGGCCCCAAGAGGCCCCCACAAAGCATCTAAGAGACCTCCAAGAGGCCCCCCAGAGGCCCCTGAAAGATTCCCTGGAGGCCCTGAAGAGGCCTCGAACAAACCCCCGAGCGGCGTCCCACGAGACCGCATCAGGTACCTGAAAGGCCTCTCCTCCACAACCCAGGCATGGTGGCGGAATGGGCCCGCGGCCACCAAATACCCAAACTGTGAATTTGGTGGGGACCGACAGCACCAGCATCCTCAAGCAGCAGGAGCCAAAGACAGCTTTCTTCGAAAGCCGAAGCTTGTCGGACGGGACCAGCCCCTTCAGCAAAGCGCCCCCACACATTCTAAGAGATGGAAGTCACTTCTAGGACGACGATGAGGGTCAAAGTATGCGAGACGAGGCGAAAGCGGCGGGGAAGAAGGCGAAGAGGCAGACGAGGGAGAGGAGGAGTCTCACCCTCCCACTTCACCTCCCTCTCGCCCATCCCCTTCCACCACCCCCTCGCCCTCCTCCCCCTCCTCCCCTCCTCCTCCTCCTCCTCCTTCTCCTCCTCCTTCTCCTCCTCCTCCTTCTCCTCCTCCACCTGACCTTCCCCCCGTCTCCCTCAAAACAAGCATCCAGCCCTATCTCCTGTGGCACGCTCAAACCGAACATTCGAGGCGGATCCAGCCGTGGCGACGAGGACGCACACAGAGGCCCCAATCAGCCAAAGATTCCCGAAAATCTAGGTTCTGTCCTCGATCCCCTTGCCAGGCCTGAGCTGAATCGAATCAGAAAATCGCATCGGGTCGGAAACGGATCGCATCGCCAGCGAATCGCCTCGAATCGAAAAAGCATCGCAGCACCCGGCTCTGGCTTGCCCCGGCCGACGCTGCCGACTCGGACCGAATCGAATCGACTCGCGGCCACAGCAGGCGAATCGAGCTCCGGGGCGGATCGTAGGCGACCCTGCTTTTGCCCCCTGTGGGGGCCTCGATCCGCGCCAGCGCCAGCTGGTCCTGCGGCCACGGGGCCGCGGCAGGGGCCGGCGACCTGGAGGGCGACCTGGGCCCGCTCCGAACGACGACGGCGAAGCTGTCGACGACGACGGCGGCGGCGCCGACGACGAGGAAGACGACAAAGACGGCGACGATGACGACGATGACGACGGCGACGACGGCGACGACGATGACGACGATGACGACGATGACGACGACGACGACCACGACGACGACGACGACGACGACGACGACGACGACGACGACGAAGACGACGACGACGACCACGGCGTTGCAATTGTGTCACATTGGGCGTTTCCGCCCGACTTATGGCCCCAGGACCATCACTGATCGCCCCGGCTAAAAGAAATGCAGCGGAAAGCGGGAGTCCAGGGCTCTGGTCGTCATGCTCAGCGATGCTGCGACTTTTGCCGCAACGTCGGATCTCTGGGGACGGGAGGACGACGGCGTGCGGGACGCAGGACGAGGGGAGTCAAGCTGGAGGAGGAGTCCTCCCTCTTGCATTACTGCCCGACTCGGCACGGCGAGGTACGCGGCGTCCGAAGAAGAGAAGAAGGATGAGGAAGCATACGCCTTCAGCAACAGCGAGACAGAGGGTCTGTGAACACCGCGCTGAATGGAGAGCCCATGCGGGCACCGAGCATGACGCTGCAAGCGCCGCCGCCTGACGGCGGGCTCCTGGCTGCTTGCCCCCTCTCCTGCTGCTTCTCTGCGAGTGGGAAGGGAGGAAAGGGGGGCCGGCTCTCTCTCTCTCTCTCTCTTTCTCTCCTCCCCTTCCTCCTCCACCCCTTTCTGAGCCTCCCGAGGAGCTGGACGCGGCGAGAAAAACAGGTCAGGGTGGTGCTCAGAAAGAAGTCCAGGAATTGGTTTTGCGAATATACTTGCCGAGATAACGAGGAGGGAGAAGGAATGAGTCCACGAGGAGGCAAGAGGGAGGAGGGAGTGTCAGGGAGGAGGCAGGAGGCAAGAGGCATGAGGGAGGAGGGGGCGCGGGGTGATTGTTAGTGGCATTTCTGATGGCGATAAGGCGGGTTCCTGCAGAAGGGACCCAGTCCTCTGGGCGGCGCGAAAAATCCACGACAGGCGTTCTGTCGCCATTCCGTAGTCTGCGAACCTGTTTTCGGAACCCAGACATATCAGCAACGATATACCGCGACACATCGGGGATGGGCTCGAGAGTTCCTCAACCAAAACATCCACGGCGTCGGATGTGTGGGCATGTCCAAGATGGCCAAAAGAAGGATCCTAGCTGGGTCTACGTGGTCCATGATGGCATCCCAGGTCGCGCAGCATGGTGCAACCAGGCCAGCGATCCGAGCCGTGTCCAGCCGTGGCGACGAGATCCTCCAGAAGCGCCCGAAAACACCCGAAAGGAAGGCGTCGTCGTCGTCGCACCAGGATCGGCGGTGCGTCGACGACGACGACGACGACGACGACGTCGTCGACGACGTCGTCGCCGTCGTCGTCGTCGTCGTCGACGACGACGCGACGCCGCCGTCGACGGCGCCCCCCGCCGCGGAGGGGCCTGGCCTCCCGCCCAGCAGCGGGTTCGGCCGCGGCGACGCCGCCGACGGCTGCCTCGCGGGGGCGCCCCCGGGCGCTCGGCCGCCTCCGCCTCCCTCCCGCCCGCTAAGGCTCGGTCGTCAGCATCGCCGTCCCGAACGGACGTGGTGTGAGATCAGCGACTGCCACCACTATGATTATCATCCATGATTACTATTATTGCTATTACTTTTTTCATACTAGTAGCTATTATTATCATTCTTCCTCGGGATTTCGGGGAAGATCCACAGAGAAGGGAGGCGGCGCCCGAGGTGGCCGAGGTCGAGGCCGAGGCGCGTCCGAGCACGGAAGCCGCGAAGCCGAGTGTCCCCCCGACCCCGGCCGCTCCCGAGGGGGGCCCCGCGCCTGCAGCGACTGCGAAGCAGTTCACTGGTCGTAGGCAAGCGCGTTCCGCTACTCGCAAAAAAGTCACTGCTCGCCAATGGCCTGGATCCGCCGTGGGGGGATTTACGAGATGTTACATCGAGGCGAACGTGGGCTTTTCGGACGTTTACGAGGAGGCACGTTGCGGGTAGTGGAACGCGCCCGGCGAGGTCAGACGGGCCAGGGGCGTGCTAAAATCCCTGGTGGAGGGTTTACAACAAACATGTCCAGTTCGCACGCACGCGTTGGCGGCCCCCAGGGGGCCCCCAGACGCAAAGTCCCCTGGGCAGGTCTAGGCAAGATCATGGCGACGTCCAGGCCGCGGATGCCGGAACTCCTGGGCGCGGCCCTGGGGGCCCCCAGTGCCCCCCGAGGAGGCACCGAATCGGTCGCAGGCCCCACGGCCTCAGGCCAAGAGCGCTCCTGGACGGCCCAACATGGCATCAAGACGGCCAAAGAGGCGCCAAAGACGGCCCAAGAGGGCTCCAACAAGACCCGAAGAGGGCCACAAGAAACCGAATCCATCGATTGTGCTTACATTTTTAAAAATGGATTTTGAAAGATATTGGCATCATCGGCTTTTGCGGGTTTCCGACCCCCCAGCACGGGCCGAGAGGCCGAAACGACCGCCCCAAGTCAGCCAAAGAGGCTCCCAGGCCCCAGGCAGCCCACCAGGACTCCCAGACAGCCAGAGAAGCCTCCCACGAGAGCTGCAGAGGCCCCAAAAAAGGGACCAAGAGGTGAGCCTGCTCTCACATGGCAAGCCTGCCCCGAAAGGTGGCGCCCGAGCCCGCTAACAGGCCCTCCCAAAACGCCCCTGGGAGGCACCCAGAAGCCCAAAAAGCTGCCACAAGAGGCCCCCACCGAAAGGCCCCCAAAAGGCATCCGAAGGGACCCCAAGAAGCCTCGAAGCCTCGTAAAAGGCATCTGGCCCACTGCTGCCGAGGAGTCCCCGAGAGGCCTCCGAAGAGACCCCAGGAAGCCCTCCACAGAGGCGGCTGATCCACCACCCAGCTTGGTCACAAGAGCGCCCCGAAAAGCCATCGAGTCACTTCCAGACATCCCCCATTGGCCACGAACACACGAACACACTCGGTCGCGACGACCAGACGGGCGGGCCAGCGGAGTGAGCGAAGCGATTCTACTCGACGGGCCCCCTGCGGGCCCCCGCCGCTTTAGGCATCGAGAGAAGATGACGAGATGAAGGTGAAATGGAAGATACTGACAAGCATGCGTGCAAGCATGCTAAGAGCGACCTTGCGCATTCCGCCGGCCGATGTTATCAATTATCTGGGGTTACGCAAATATGAAAGTGAATGCCCGCGACAGTTCCCGTGACATGGGAAAACATGCATGAGATTTGCCCTCAGGGCTGCAAAAGCCTCATTTCGGTACACCCTTCAAGCATTTCCTGTCTGACACTATCCTGGGACACGTGAAAATACGACTGATCAACGCCTCCATTGCTACGACACTGCTATTTCGGAACACCCCCAACGCATGTCCTGCTCCACACCCTACTGGGACACATGTGAACACGAGCGATGTGCGTTCCGAAGGCTACGAAGGTCTCAATTCTATACACCCCTCACGCATCTCCTGCTCCCCACTCGACTGGGACACGTGAAAAATACGAGTGATCTGCGCTCTCGGGTTCCTGCGGCACGTAAACAAACAAAGTGACTCGGGCCTCGAGGATAATGGGAGATAGGAACCTCAATTCGGCACTCCCCGATCACGCACTTCGTGAACGTAGGGCGCCCGGCTGTCCCCCGAGACTATTCTTTCGAGTCTCAATTCGGCGCACCCCTCGCGCACGTCGTGCCCCGTGGACCCCAAAGGCCCGTAGCTGGCGTCCAAGACCGCCTAATCCCCCAAAGGGTGCAAAAACGCCCTGGAGAAACATTGCAACGCGACCCGCGAGCCCAACATGCGCTCACTCGATCCTCACGAAAATTGGCGACGCACACCGAATGGGGTAGGAGGAGGGGGGGAGGCGTCTTAGGAGGAGGCTGCTTTGAAGGGGCCAGCCTTACATCTGTAGAAAAGGCGCCCGCGCCTTTCAAGAAGCATGGGTCCGTCTAAGATACCTCCCCCCTCCCCCTCCCCTCTGCGCGTGGCCAGGGGGGAAAAAATACACCATTCGCCTTCAGAGAATAGCGCCAACGGCATGGTGTCAACATCAAGAGCTCGGGTTGGAAGCAGACAGAGCCCATGCGCCAGCCTATGGCGCGGCGCCTTGGCAGAATCATGCGGACACGCCAAACGCGTGTAGAAGAGGAGCAACAACATGCCAAAGACATGTGATGTTACAGACACGCCAAACACGTCCAGGTGGCAGGAGGGGAGAGGAGGACGACGACGAACGATCATGAAAATGTGCCTCTCAACGTATCCGGCCATGAATTGTCTGAGTGGTCGTGTTTCGTTGTACTACCTCGCATACGCAATTTGCCAACTGCAATTTCAGACGGCCCCGTTTCCTGACCGATCGCCGCTTCCTGGGGGTGTCCCCAGCGGGCTCGCGAACAATAGCTTCGAGAAAGCTACCGCCCAGTATTCGCGACAGTGTTATACTTGACTGCACTGGTCTCTTGTGCAAGGTCTCGCTGAGAGGCGCTGCCCGCGTTGAAGATTGCACGCTTGCATTAGACACGTGGGAGTAGTATGGGTGCTGTACGTTCAATACTTTGCGCAGGCAGGTCGCTTGAAAACTGTCCAATATTTTCGGTCTGCTTGAGATAACTGTAAAGACTCCAAGTTGCACGACAGCTTTGGGACCACGATGGCGTCGAATAGGCGGAGCGTCCGAGACTTGCTGGTGCTTATGTGATTTCAAAATTCTACCAGCGCTTTAAGATTAGTCCTGGCCTCCCCCTAAACGTCTCGCAATGTCAGGTTCGTTTGCGGTGCCGTTGTGTAATCGTCCCCCAATGTATTCAGCTGGTTGAAAATTTGTGAGAGGCTGCCAGGAATGGACGTACACAAGTCCTTCGCTAGTGATCTTCGTCATGGCCGTTCTGTCAGATTTCAAATCGGGACGATGTTGATTTCCAAAGTTGGATGTCGAATCCAACGGCATTTGAAGTTTGAATTGGTTCGCTCTCTCAAGCATGGTGTCGTCAACCTATGTCATGTCGTTACACGGAACCTATCATGGCTCTTGATAAAAAATGTGATTGTAAGCCTGGTCGATGCCGAAGAACATGACGGCTCCGACGATGATGAGAAGGTATGGAGAAAGTGGGCACCCTTGAGAAATGCCTGCTCTCTTTGGCCTAATGCTGGAATCCCCCAGTCGAATCTTTTAGCAAGAAAGATCGCGGTCTGAATGGCCCCGACTATTGTTAACATTGGTTCCGGTATCCCAAACTTCCCCAAAGCTCGTAAGAGATCGTCATGAGCGATTCGATCGAATGCTTTAGCCCAATCCAAAAATACAACTATCAACCCATGCTCTTGGCCGCTGTGCTGCGTCGAACATTCGGCGTGCGATCGAAATGGCATCTATCCGCCGTGGTCGGAATCCAACTTGCTTGGGCCGGATTATGTTTTCGGCCCCTCCTTGTTAGAGACGTTTGTGGATCATTCAGGGCAACACTTTGTAGCCCACTAATAAAGAAAAACGCGGGGTAACAATCTGGGAGGCTCGCGTCTCTTTTCTTGCATAACAGAACGAAACGGGTGCCAAACGAAAATGAAAAACGAAACGATGCCGACACTCAGCAAGAAAACGAAAAACGAAACAAACATCGCAGACCACGCTGGAAACAAAACGAAAAACTGAGATGGTGTGACTGATGCGTGTGATGTCCAGGTGTATGCAAGCACGCAAAAAAAAGCAAACGAGCGAGCGAGCCAGCCAGCATGCCAGCGAGGAGGCAAGCAAGCACGCAGTGACACCCCGCATGCGCAATCACAATATCCACCCCACATGCGCAATTAGCATGCGCAACCTCAATGCGCACACCGTCATCTTCTCAACTGCCTCAACCCTCGGCTCCACGTGGTCTCCAGAAATCTCAGGAGGTCCGCTAAGGCTCCTAGAGGTCCCCAGACGCCTCCCACAAGTAACAAACAAACCAAAACCGCGCAGATTCCTCGATCATCCTTCTCTTCAGATTCCCCTTTATCCTCCTTCTGCTCGTCCTCCCCCCTCCTCCCCTTGTCCCCATCCCTTTCACACCCCGCGCTCCCCTCACCCTCATCACCCTCACCAATCCTCCTC